CTGTTTGAGGATTTTAGATGTTTAGCTTGTTTTTTTCTGGTGTGTCCCCCATGCCCCCGGTTCTCATCCCTCCCCTGCACAAAAAAGGGTAAGCCTGTGGACTCACTGTGGAGCATTCCAGGGTGAAGCAGGCCTCCTGGAACTAAGATTCTTTATCACACTCCCAGGGGAGTTAATTTCAAGTTGCTGGTACTAGCAGCTACAGCATGATATTGCCCAATCCCAGGTCCTCTTACTGATGGGTGGGAAGGAGTGGGATTGCTGTTTAAGAAATTTTATTATCTTTAGAAGGGAAGAATTTATTATAGGGGTTTTCTTAGATGATCTCTTTCATGTGGGTTAAGACGTTTTGAGCTCTGAATGTCCAAGCGGCTTAGAAGTTCTAAGTTGTTCTCAACTGGGGGTGGTACTGCCACTCTCAAGGGGTATTTGGACGGGAGTGTTTTTTTGTTGTCACGGTGGCTGGGGGGTGGGTGCCACTGGCATTCCACAGGTGGGGGCTAGGAATGTTGTACATTCTGCTTTGCCCAGGACAGTTCCCCAAGATAAGTAATTGTCCCACCCTAAATGCAAATAGCATCCTCTCAAGAATCCCCGAGAAGTGTGGCTTTGTTTATAATACTCTGAAGTGCTGATTGACAGCTTGGTTGTAGGTGTGGGAGGTACTCAGTGAAAAATAAGTGGGATGGGGCCGGTCCCGTGGCTCACTCAAGAGAGTGCAGCGCTGGGAGCGTGGAGGCTGCGGGTTCGGATCCTGTATAGGGATAGGGATGGCCGGTGCGCTCACTGGTTGAGCGTGGTGCGGACCACACCGTGCCTGCCGAGGGTTGCGATCCCCTTACCGGTCAGAAAAAAAAGAAAAGAAAAGTAAGTGGGATGTAAGAGACTGGGGGAAGGACAGAAAGGCAGGTAACTTGTGTTTAAATGAAAACCAGAAGAGTAGCTCAGTTATAGAAGAGGGTTATTTAAATCTCTCATTTCTCAGAATTAGACACTGTAATAGTGCATCCCATTTTTTTGCTGGCTTTTGGTCATTGAAAAGGCACTTTATATTTTAATTACGAAGTGAGTGTTTAAGTAATCTTTGAGATCCGCTGACAGTCTTGAGAGATGACTGAATTATGTGGGCTGGATGCTCAGACACATTCAGGTCAGAGAATGTGTCGCTAGGGAAAGATCAGTAGAATATCCTGGGGGCACGCTGTTGGCAATTTGCCATGCAGGTGAAGCTGCTTGGGATCAAGCCTGGGGCAACTGGAGGGGCTGCAAGGTGAGACCCATCTCTGCTAGCAGCCTCTTGATGAACCACCCACAAGCCTGCTCACTGGGCTCATGCCTCTGGGTGAGGCTCTTGGGAGTGAAGTGGGGCTCCAAGCCCTTCTCATGGCCAAAGTCCATATGCTGATTCGACCTGCACCTATCCAGTTTAGTTTTTACACAGTTATTGGCACGAGTGACCACTCTGACCCCCATTTGATATTGCTACTCTTTTGCTTGGCACTCAAGGCTCTTTTTTCTCCATTTTCCCAGGCCTGTTGTCCAGGACTTTCCAAGAGGTTTCCACTGCTTGGGCCATGGAGGCCTCCTCACTAGACCGTCCCACATGCTGGGCTTCTACCAAGTTGTTTTGACCCTGCACACAAAGCCTGGTCCCCCTTTTCGCCCACCCAAATTCTGCTCATCCACAAAGACCCAGTGTAGTCTTGTTCACCTTCCTGAAGACTTCTGATCACTTCAGCCCAGGGTGTTATGTTCTTTCCCCTAAGGCTAGTTGGTTCTTAGTGTCTCTGCTGCTTATTTGGAACCAATTTGTCTATTGTCATACAGCAAAGCTTTGGAATCAGACTGCCTAGGTGTGAATTGCTACTCCACTACCTACTAGCTGTGAGATTTGGCCAAGCCTCAGTTTCCTTATCTATGAAATAGGGTTATTAACACTATCTCACAGGGTTATTGTGATAATAAGTGAGATAACAGATGGAAAATACTTAACATGCTGCTGGCAAGTTCTGGGTGAATGAAAGCTGTCATTCGTTTTGTGGGAAGTGGGATGATGAAAATAGTACAGGCCTTGGAATCACACAGGTCCTGGGTCTAAATCAGACTTTGAGATTTTGTACCTTTGTGGCCCTGAGGGAAGTTGGTTATTGTCACTGAGGCTCAGTTTCCCTTTCTATTAAGTAAGTATAAATCTCACTTTGTAGTTCTAAGAAGATCCAATGAATGTGTATAAAGCTTTCCATATTGCCCGACACATAGTAGGTGCTCAATTAATGGCAGCTATTGTTGCAAAGGTAGTTAACTTATAATGCATAACTAACATTTCTTCGCTGTGAACTTGTAAATTGTGAAAAAAAGGACCACATCTTTTCTTTGTTTCTTCCACAAACACTAGTCCAATCTTTTGTTGCACATAGTAGTTATGAGTTTTTTATGGCTTTAGTGAATCTGACATCATATTCTTTTTTTTTAAGTTGTACTTTAATGATGTGTGTACATGATAATTCATCAACTGACTTTGTGGGTTTTGTCCCAAAATCTTTGACTTCTTGAACTGTCCTCTTAATATTGTTTTGCTCTAATAAAACATAAAGGCTCTGAAACAATAATTTAGAAAAAGCAGTTGACTCAGTGGTTTGTAAACTAAATTTAAAAACACACAAGAATTCTAGCCACTTGTTTGGTGATCTTTTATGAAAATCAGGCAGCTAAAATGTTGCACAGAAAGAGAATAGTAGGTTAGTTTGCTGTGCATGTCTTGTTTTAGTTTCGTTCACTGAATCCTTGACTATTCCATCAATTGACATTAGGCAGGGAAGGGTCTTCCACGTAATTTGTTACCCTTGGTTGTCATGGCTACAGTGTGAGGTTTTGGAAATAAGCAGATGACCCTAAATCTTCAAAAGGGGATTGGCCTTGTTTGTGTGAGTAAGGTGTGGGATTTGTAGGGAACTATCACCCGACTTCTAAATATCAGAAGTATGTTTGACAATATCAAGAGAATCAAAGTTAAGTATGGAAAAAGCAAAGCAAAAATTATGAATTAATTAAGGAATTCCCTCTTAAACTTGTTTCTTTAAGTTTAGTGAGGGTAGGACTCTTAAAATGTGATTTAGTACACATTTTTAAAAAGAGCACACGTATCTCCTCAGGTAGACCAAGTGTTTGGGAGGACCAGCATATGTTAAGAGGATCGAGCAGGGAAATAGGATTTGCCGTAGAAATTACCTTACTCTATTAACTTTGGACAATGTTCCATTGACTACTACTTGCCTTTCTCTTCTAAGAAAAGAATTCATGGAAGGGAAAAGAAACTCATTTTAAAAAAGGGTAAGAAACTATTATGAATATGACTCAATGTTTTTCTTTCAGTTTTTTAAACTTCTTGGTATTCTCTTATTTCAAATTATTCCACATTCCACTTTTCTTTCTGTGTGCTTAAGATTGTAAAATTCTATTTAAACTTTCATTGTTTGCCCTGATGGAGTATTACAGAGAGGAATCTTCATTACCTGAGGTCCCACGAGTGCCCAGTGCTGTGCTAGAGGATGGGGGGATGTTACAAAGTGGTGTTCTCAATCCAGTGCTGGTTCCTGCCCTGTCTTATATAACGAACAACTTCTCTTTTCTGGGCACTATCTGTTACTCTAATATCTTAACAAATTCTTAGTCCAGCACTTAGACCAGAAAACTTGGGATATGGCTGTTTATGAAGAAAGAATTACTCTTGTTTTTTTCCCTAACTTTGGGCACTATAAGGTTAAAAAGCAAGTTTATCTATCCCTATGTCTAAAAAAATTTTTTTGGAAGAGCTTGAAACTTTTTTTATTTTTCTGTGTTGATTTTGATTGTTGCAAATTTTCCTAAGCCCAAGAGTTTTTTAGTGCACTGTTAGTCGCCAAGTAGACTATTGTTTTTTCTCTGACCAAAGTATATGAGCACTATGGATTCCACAGTAGCCTAATTAATAAACTCAATTAATGTTGACAGACAGCAACTTTGGGAAAACAATCAAATTATTACTTTGGCTTTTGAGGCTAGTGGAATAAAGTGTTGCTTTGGTAAAAGGGAACATAGAACAATGGTCAATGTAGCACGATGCTGGAACCAGAACTGTCAGGTTCAAATCCTTGCTTTGCACAGATTTGCTGTTGGCTATTGGGCAAGTTACTGAACTGCTCTGTGTGCCTCAGCTTCTTTGTTTGTAAATTGTTTATAATAATGGCATCTGTTTCTCTTATGAGGTTGAAAGTGCCTAGAATGGTTTGTGCCATTTAAGCACCATATGAATATGTTTTTTTTATCTTTGTACCATCATTCTGATTCTCGGGAAAGGCGGGGCCAGTGCTGGGGGGATAGGGTGTTCATTTGGTTCTGATGGTTTCTTTTCAATGGTTGTCTGGTTCTTAACAAAATGTTTTTCATTTTGTGTAGATTACAGTATTTTTCTCCTTAGTTTTCATTAGAGGGCAAAGAGTTTTAAAGTTACATAAGTGATTGCTTGAAAAATTGCCTCTTGAGGAAAACTAAGGTTTGAATACGTGTTTAGAGACTATTTGTTGAAAAAAGTTATAAATCGTGCTCTATTTAGGTTTTTTTTCCCTCTTAAACTCTGTGGGTGGTTCCAGTGTATGAAATAATCCTCCCAATATTTTTTTTCCTACGAATAATTAAACCATAAAATATAGATAATATCCAGTAACCTTTGGAGGGCTTGCAAGTAAAGGCTACTTATTTAAAATAAAACACTCAGAAAATCAGAGCAGAGTTGAAACCACGAACACCTGCAATTGTTGTCAGACCTAATCTAGACCTTTTCCGCTGGTGGTTTGTTTTTAAACAACACATATTCCCTTTATAATAGGATGAATGACAGCCTTCTGACAGCAGTGGAGCATTTTGGCTGATTACTGAGAGGCCACCCGGCAATGATAAAGTATCAGTTTGTTTTTTCTGTGGAGATATTTCCAAACAATAGTCTTTTGGGAGTTATAACAGGCATGGAAGTTACTGCTGAAAAGGTGAATTTGACAAATGAATTATGATGGGTCTGTTGATAAATTGAGTAAATTGGATTTCATATATTACTTTACATAATGGAGTGATTGGGAGATCAAATGTGAAAATCACTACCCATAAAAAGTTACTTAGGTGCAGCATTTCCACATCAGTTTCATTTTTTGTGTGTGTGATTTAAAATGTAAGCTAAAAAAAAAAAAAATTGGCTGTAAATTGTTTTTCAGAATGACTTTTGGGTCTTTATTTTGTATACTTTTCATGGTATGTTTGACTTGGTATTTTAGCAAAAAACAAAATAAAAACCCTCTAAATTTGACTTGTAATAAAAAATAAGAAATGGTGTTAATTATGTATATATTTGAAACATGCAATATATTATGAGAATTTTCTTCTGTGTACTCAGCATCTAAGTTTATGCTTTTCTTTTCCCCTTAGCAATATGAAACTCTCTGTAAGTGGACTGTCGTTTACAATTGCTATAATTTTTCAATCAGAAGTTATTAGATACTAAGGGAGACAAACGTACTGAACTCACATATGTATTATGTTGGATTACTAACAATAGACTTAATTGATAAAAGTGATTTAACATATGTTGTGTTAATAGCTAAACCTCCAAAGCCCCTAATCTCTCATGGAAATATTGCCTTGTAGAACAAAATCCAATGAGAAGTTCTGGGATTCCAGAGTGAATTTGTACATTCCTTAGGGGCATTTTTGCAAGGGAGGTTGTTGTGTTTTAAAGGTAGTTGATAAGAGACCTGCACCACCAACCCCAGACCCGCACCACCAACCACCATCACGCATTAGTCTATAGAAGGTATTTGGGTGTATGTACTCCTGTACCACTCGGTACCACCATTTAGCCAAGGGAAGTTTCTGACCATTTGCAGCATACATTATAAATCAGGATGTCACTACCAGACAATCAGATTTGAACATTCCATGAACAAAGTAGCCTATATTCCCCAGGAACAGATCACTTAACTATGTTTATTTTATGCTGTTGATATGCCTGCATTTACACAAGTAAGGATAGCACATTGTTTATTTATTTTAAGAGTAGGTAATTGGTCTGTTTATTTAGCTAATTTTGAGTTAATTAGCCAAAAATTGAAATGGGTAATTTAGCACGATTGCTTAAATACATGGGCAAAATAAAGTTATTCTTCTAACTCCATAAAGTACTGCTCTATCCCTTGGGTTTGTGAAAGAATAATTTTGAGTCTTCTCCAAGTTGGGCTGGTGTTGGCTGCTCTCTTTAAAAAAATTTCCTATTTGGCACCCAATGATTGGGAAGTTCACTGGCCAGATATTTGGGGGAAGCTTGGAGGATTTCCAATTGCCAAATTAGTCCCCTGGGGAGACCGAGAAAAATCACAGGACTTATTTGTTGAATAAAATGAAATTGTTTAAGTTATTCTCTTTCTAGGGGATATCACTGCCACTTGGGGTTGTGGCAGCCTTTGGTGCCAAGTTTGTGCTCTCCAGTTGGCTGCAGAGATTTTTTTGGTTTTGGCTTTTTTTGTTTGTTTGTTTGTTTGTTTTTAATATTTGTTTGCATGATGAGCTTACAGATCTGGCAACTTAGAGCAAAATATTGGTCTGAATCTAAGAATGAAGGGTCATAACTTGCTGTATATGATTTAGTAATACAAAAACACTTTAAAAAATATAGGATGGGGAACTCAAAAAAGAACAGTCAAGTAAATGATAAGTTACTCATATTATCAGAGATAACTACTGTTAACATTCTGATCTTTTTATATGTTTTCATTTTTTCATATGTGACTCTATTATAGGTAAAAATTTGCATCCCTGTCCTTGTTACATTATAAGTGTTTCTCAAGTATTTAGAAATTCTTCATAACCATTTTCATAAGTTTCTAATATGTCAATATATAGATATAATAAAATTTAATCCTTTTCTTATTGGACATTTAGGAGGTTTGCTATTTTCTTTATTATAAACAATATTACCATGAAAATCTTTATATGTATGCCCTTGTCTAGTTCTCTGGTTTGCCCCTTAGAAAAAAATACCTAGAAGTAAAAGTACTAAATTAAAGAGCAGGATATAAGGTAAGTTTAAAAAGCAAGATACCTGCTGTCAAGTTTCTTTCCAGATTGGTTACATCAAGGCATATTCTAATCAACTGTATGAAAATGACCTTCTTCCTGCAGTCCTCTAAACAAATATTTTAATATTATCATTATGAAAATGTTTTCCTCATTTTATAAATTATTTGCTTTCCTTTGATTACTAATTAGTTGAATATTTTTTCATTTTTATAAAAAAATTGTATTTCTTCTGTGAAATACTTGCACGGCATAAGTTTTTTTTTTACTGTCTTTCTGATGCTTGTGGTATTACAGAATGTGACAGTGACCATTTTCAGTGTGGAAATGGATGTTGTGTCCTTGCAGTTTGGAGGTGTGATGCCACCAAAGACTGTTTGGGTGACTCAGATGAAGTTGGCAGGGGAGGGGCCAGGCTAACTCTGTTTTTATAATGGTAAGTGGTGATTTCAGCTCTAACAAAGGAAAGAGCTGTGCCTGCAGTGATAGACCCAGCCAGGGCTGATCTCAAGTCTTTTTGAAATCTGTGCAGCTGAATAGAGAACCAATGCTGTTGATAATTGTTTCTCCCTCTTTTGAGGGAAGGGTTCAATATATATCAATTTCTACCTTACCTTTATTCCATGACCGTGACCTTGATGTGGAAACAAATTTGGGAGCAGTTTTCTGAAGCCTATAAAGTAATTTTCTGACATCACTCTGTAAATTTTGTGTACCAACAAGAACATAAAAAATAATGTGATCTGAACTACTGTGATTTGCAATTGAAGGAGTCTATTTTTATATAAAGGATGTAGTATAATTCGTGTGAATTACCATAAAGAAATCACAGAAATGGTTAGTGTGGTTTTATGTTTTTTAAAAATTCTAGTTAAAAAACATGATAATATAGTAAACCCCAAATTTAACTAATTATAAAATCACTTACACCTATATTTCTTCATTTAGTTCTCTCAACAATATTATGAGGTAGGTTTCAGATTAGGAAACTGAGGCTTAGAGAAGTTCACTTGTTTATTAGAGGGCTCACAGTTGGTAAGAGCCACACACAAATCCCATCCCTTAAATCGGTTCTTTTCCCAATGTATCATAGGCGGTCAATCACACTGCCACAGTTTCTTTTATTCTGACAGGTGAACAGAGAAGGGTTATCTTCCGAAAACCAGGAGAGCAGGTGAAAAAATTACTTTTGCTTTGAATTGTTGTCCATCCTATGATACATCAGAACAGTCATACTTTGGTGTATTGTTTGGATGATAAAGCATTTGAAAATGGGAGGAAGGGTAAGGAATTGGTGCCATACAGAGCTTCTCAAACTTTCATGCACAAATGCATCATCTGGGAGCTGCTAGTTAAAGTGCAGGTTTTCCTTCTGTATGTTTGAGGTGGGACCTGAGATTCTGCGTTTCTACAAGCTCCCAGTTTATTCTGATGCTGCTAGTCTGTGGCCCACACTTTGAGCAAGGGAGTAGCTGCATTTGTAGGGACATGATCATCTGCTGTTTGCCTCCTCTGTGCTTACTAAGTTCATTTTAGATTGAACAATAGGAGCAAAAAGCAGCCTACCTCATATGTTGTTGAGAGAACAGAGTATTCCGGCATAAAGAAATGAACAAACAGTTATATCAGCAACTCTTCAGAGATTGTTGTTATGTTTTATTGACATATACTAATAACAACAACAATACCAATGACAATAGTGATAGCAACTAACATTACCTGGCACTTTCACATATATTATTTAACTTATTTTTTACAACAAACCATGAGATAAGTATAGTCCCTATTTTATGATGCGTACATTGAGGCTCAGAGAATCTGCCTAGTATCCTAAAGCAAATAAACTGTGGAAACAATAATAATTTGATTATGGGTTTTCTTTTCCAAATCTCATGGGTTTTATAGTTTATCGAGATGCTTTACTTTTAGCTACTACAAAACATGTCAAATAATTTAACAATAACTCATGGTTAATTTTTACTTAAATTAAAATTTTAATTCAATATTTTTGTCATAAATTTGTATGTATGTGTGTTTGGCTGTTTGTTTTATTTCATATTGCTTGAGATCATCAGTTTCTGGTAATGCCATTGCTGAGAATATTTAACTATGGTTAGAGTCCACAGACTCTAGTATAAAGGTTGTTCACTATTTGCCTTCAAACATATCGAGCCGGAGTTGACATACATTTTTTGGAAATAATAACTGCTTGCTGGTGAAACAGGGCAGATGCTTGTACATTGAGTTCCATTTTGGCTTGTCTTAGCTCCCCATTCCTGCCGGAAAGGCTATTTCCAGTGTGAGAGTAGTGGGGTGTGTGTTCCTTGATCCTGGGGATGTGACCACGAGCAGGACTGATGGTGGTTCAGATGAATATCAGCACAGCATGCAAGTGTTTCAAGAGGAATCTTGTTTTGGCCCTTTGGACACCTAAAATCTGACCTGTCATGAACAGGTTACACACAGTGGGATAGTTCTTTATATGCCAAGTTGGGCCTTAAATGACAAGGCAAACTTTTCCAGCAATCTCATTCAGGGGTTGGATGATACTGAAAGTGTAAAGGTATTAAAGAACTGTAAACGTATCCCAGCAATTTGGAAATGGGATAGGTTTCCAGTCTTTCTTTTGGATTATGTTATGTTCAAGAAAGAAACGAAACATTTATTGGTAGGTATAAGTGAGGGTCTCTACTTGTGTGGTTGAGAGTTGGATGAGACCTTTTGCTTTGTGGCACACTCTGTACTCAACTCTTCCACCCTTTATACCCCAGTATAAAACTCTCTTCTTTTTGAATGAGTGCAAGTGGGAGCTGGTAAGTAGGTCTGTTGGAGGCATTGTTGGTGATTACTTCAGTTACAGCTGCTGCAGCCACCATAGGATGAGCTGCAACAAGAGAGAAAACAGTAGCAGTGAAGAGGGCCTGGCAACTGCTCCATTTCTGGGCATTGAGGGTTTGTGGGACAGTCACCTGGAAGAAACCCTTAAAATCTAATTTCTTTGGGATCAAACTGGAAATAAGTGTTTTAATGGGTTTGAAACTAACTTCAGATGAGAGAGTAATCTTGGGTAAGTAAAAGATGGCAACCTGTTAGAAATTTGTCTCTCATGTGTGTCATTCCATTGCTTTCTCTGCTAAGGATATTTGTACAATTTAAAATCATTCCTGTTATCAATGTGAGTGTTTTTGGAAAGAAACAAGGAAAGAAAAACACAACTCAAAAAAGTTAAACACGTAGGGGATTTATTATCTCACCTAATAAGAAACCTAACTACAGGGATTTTCCAGAGTTGACTAATTCCCAGCTCATCCAATTTTTTCCCATTTTTCCGTTTTGCCGTATTTATCCCATTGGCTTTCCGTGATTGCATGAAAGCTGCTGAAGTCTCAAATTTTACACAACTTTTAATATCTAGAAGAGAGGACATCAACATCCTCCCCCTATATTTTTTTTATGAGACCAAAAAAGGTCTATGTTGGACTGAGGTGGAAGTTGGAGAGAAGATGTCAGGCTGGAATGAGCCACCTCAGCTCTTGATCCCAGTTGCCCCTGGAAGAGTCCAGCTCTAATCCCAGTGTGGCATTGGTCTTTGAACTTTGCCACACAATGCACATCCCCCAAATGCCCTGTTGGCATTTTCACATGGTCATTGTCCACAAAGATCAAAGAAGAAACCGATGTGTTTGATGGCTACTTCACATGGAAACTTTTGTCTTTAGATGACTAGGAATGGAGATTCTATGTTCTTCAGTAGGTCCTGGATGTGTTTCTGAGAGACTGGAATTTATCCCAGGACTTTTGAGTTCAGTATTAAGTGTGAACTCCTTTTCAGCTGGGCCACTGGATGGATACCAAGGGTCTTTTGAGGAAGAGGATAGAGATTCTCAAAATACCCATGAGATTGGCTTGGTTTATATCTAAAATGAAGACTGTATAAATTGAAAAGTCTGTCAGGGCCCGTAAGGGCTGGCCATGGGGCTGCCAGCAATAAGGGAATGGCAGGGACAAGGTGGCTAAAGGGACATCAGCAAACTCTGTAGGGCTGTGGAGGATGGTGGTGGTGGCAAATGGCTGTCCTGAGGAAGACATGGACAGGAGCTAACCAAGGCCACACAGATCAGGTTCAGTTATGTGTCAGGGTTACAGGTGGAGGGGTGAAAGGGGATAACTAGAACTGAAAGAGAGAAATGGGGGATGGTAGTTCAGACGTACTGAGGGGAGGAAGGAAAAGTGCCAGGCACAGTAGGGAGCAGGAAAAAACCGTCACTGTAGGAATCCTGTCTGGGCTGTGGAATTCTCTGGCTGGCCTCTCAGAGGTCCTGGGGAAAGATGGGGTGACTCCAGATAGCGGGTGCTCAGTGGGAATAGGATGGGGCTAGACTGAGAATCTCTGGAGAGCAGTGGCTATGCTTAATTTAGCTCTTTATCCCCATGGACTGGCATTCTGTCTGGCAGAGTAGGTTCTTAATAAATGGCTGCTGAATGATGGGTTGTTTTTTGGCTAGATACGCCATTTTGGTTCCATGTCCCCTTGCTCCCCACAGAGAACGAGAAGTAAGCTGAGCTGTGTTTTGTGATACAGCACATGGTAGACAGCCCTTTACAGAGGTGGTGGGAACTAAGGGCAACTGCTTGGGGAAAGAGACTGGAGATAAGTTTATAGCAGTAATTTGCAAGCAACGATATATACCATTTTAAATGAGTATGGATTTCATAAGGTAATTCTCACATTTTTAATGGTTTAAATTCTTTATTAGATGTCCTTAACCACACACAAACATGACACTGCTGTGATCACTAAGGTACCCGAGAACTCCTGATTGCCAAATCCAGTGGGCACTTTCCCTCCATTATCATGCTGGATGGACTTTTCTGTTGCATCTGCCTACAGTGATGACTCCCTCCTTCCTGACACTACTCCCTTGGCTGCCCATGGCTGCCCATGGCTGCCCACTATCCTCTCTGCTTTGGTCGTTCCATATTGTCTTCCTCTTCTGCTCAGTGTTTGACTGTTGCTCAGAGCCCAGCCCTTAGCAGCTCTTCTCATTCTATACACTCTCTCAGGATAGTCTCACCATTCTCATGATTTTGGTGACCCTCCGTATGGAAGTGAGGTCCAAATCTATGCCTAGGAGATTTCTTGTTTGCGCTTCAGCCTTGTATATTCAGCTGCCTGTTGGACATCTTCAAGGTACCTCAATCTCAAGGTGTCCCAGTGGAAACTAGTCATCTTCCCCCCTAAACTGGGTTTTCCTTCTGTATTTGCTGGGCTACATTATACCTGTAAGTAAAATCTAACCCACTATACGATGCTGGTAGAAAATACAAAATTGGTCTCAAACTACGAGAAACAGGCGGATTGAGACTCTTTTACAGGTTAATTTAGAACTTCATGAAATATTTCATAATGAAAGTATTTCATTATATGAAAAGCAAGATTGCTGAAAGTGACACGAAAGGTGTAATCAATTAGCATGAAAAGGGTATCACAGTCCCCCAGGCACTCACTCTGGAAACTTGGAAGGTTTTCTTGGAAGTAGCATCTTTCCTGTCCTTTGCTGCCCACATTTAATCAGCAACTCCTGCCCAATTTGCCTTATAAACATCTCTAAAGTTCATTTCTTCTATTCCATTTATGCTACCATTACTAACGTCTTTCATCTGGGTTGACTGCAGCAGTCTCTGGACTGGCCCTCCTGCCTCCAGTCCTGTCCCTCCTCTGGTTCTCCCTGACACTGATGATGGAAAGATCTTGCTAAAACCCTTTGGTAGCTCTCCATCACCTCCAGGAGAAAGTTGCAACTCCCACACGTTTACAATGGCCTCAGGGTGGCTGGTGCTTATTTTTCCATGTCTATCACTTGTCATTCCTGCCTTGAAATGTCCATTTGGGGCACAGCAGTGCTTGCAGTTCCCTTGGGCATCACGTGCTTTGTCCCCACCTTTCATCTCTGTGCATGCTGCCTGAGTGCTCGCTGCTACACAGTCCTTCTCTACTTTGGGGCCTAGCTAATTGCTACTTCTCCTTTAAGACCCAGGGGAGGTGTCACCTCCTCAAGGAAATGTTTCTCCTCCACACTCCTATCCCAGAGTAAATTAGGCACCCTTCCTTGAAGCTTCTATAATTCCTGTGTGCCTATACTCCAGTTTCATCGTTGTTTTCTAATTATTTCTTAATGCCTCCCCCAGAAGACTATGAGCTTCATGAGGGTAGGGATTGCATCTTACTTGTCATTAGATTCCCATTGTTGGTATACTTTGTGGCACGTAATAAACCCTTAATAGATGTTTATAGAATGCATGAATAAATGAATCCCAGTGTTAGATTGGTTGATAGAACTGTAAAATTTTTCTACATTTGAATGAGCTTTTAATTGCTCCCTTTGAAATCTTAAGTACAAAATATAGAATTAGATGGGCTTGAGTTTAAGAAGAAAACCAATGTGATTAAAATAATACTGACACCAGATTTAGTTTCTTCTCATATTTTGTTTAAGACTAATGACTTGCCTTTTCAGGAATAGAAGAAAATTCTTTAATTTAATGGGGAAATTGGCAATATATACTTAAATAAATTATAGTATATGGAAATTCAATGAGGAAGCATTAATCTTTTTAACCTTATTCAGACAAAATTGTGTCTTTGCATTGGACAGAATTTAGTCATTTAAGTGCCTTCTAGAAAAGTCTATCTATTGTGACTTTATTAACAGAAGTAAAATTTAACCTACAGATATGAAGTACTAGGAGAAAATATGAAATCATACTGTCAAGGTCTCAGAAATAGGCAGACTGGAAAAATTCTTGTTTGCTATTCAAGAATTACATGACACATTCAAAATGAAACCATTTTATTAGTTAAACAGAAAGAAGGAACAAAGTGATAAGAAAGATATATAATCAATTAAGCATGGAAAAGGGTGGTAATTACGGTAATTTTTTTGCATCTTATCACACTATAATCTTTATATCTTTGAATTTTCAAGTACCAACTCTAAACCTGTCATTGTCTACTTGCCTTTTAGAAAGGTTTTTCTTGTTATGTTTTGATGGCACATCCCTTAACAGATATCTCATTTTATTAGAAAACCAAGTTTTGCCAAACCCAAGTATCTTTACTATATAGAAGTGTAGGAAGCTCTGTAAAAATTCGATTAGAGGATTATATTCTTTTATGGAGGATCACATTTTCCCCAAGTGCTTCTCTTTTTATGTGGACAATTTAAAACATGCCATGATAAGATAATGTTTCCAAGTCATGGTAGTTCCTGCCTCAGATTTACAGAATAGCTTCCACATCATGCTTGCAAGCATCAGTTCATTTGATTTTATCTGTGTTATCCAGAGGAAAATTTGATAAACTGCTGACGCCCTGCTTTCATCTATACTAATCAGCAAAGAATGCAATCAAGCTAGCTTACAAATTTTTTCTGTTTATAAAATTGACACATGGTCAATGCAGACAGTTTATGTAATAGAGAAAACTATAAAAAAAAATCACTCATATTCTCACCACTCAGGAATAACCACTGTTAACCATTTGGCATATTTCCTTTTTGTTTAAACAAGGGCTTCAGTGAGGGGGATCCTACGGATCCTTATATCTATATCTGCAAAATTCTTATTTAATTCATCTTTTTCACCATATAGCTTTTCAATCTATATTGTATCCTCAACAAATATTGATAATGTAATTGTCTGCATTAACAAGCTTGAGCGTCAATACTATTCTGTGGGCATTTTGATAATATAATACCCGTGCTTTTGCATGGTAAGCTCAGCTTGATGCTAGCTGGGTAGTTTACCTTCTGTGCCTGTGAACTTTATGTTCAATGTATGCTCTTGCCTTTGCTTTCCAATAGTCTCATAATATTTGGTATATATCAGTAGATGAGTCTGTGTCTGGCAGTAATGATAAATTAAGTAATATTCTTTTCCCTTTACAGCTGGGACACTCTGCTTAAGTGATCAGATGCTGTGCTCCAGTGGTCAGTGCATCCCACATGATTACTGGTGTGACCACGTCAGAGACTGCTCAGATGGAACTGACGAGAGAGACTGCCGTGAGTCTGTTTTATAGTCTTTGCACTGTGTTTGGTTTCACCCTTGTCCCTTTGGCATTTTAATCAATTTGTTAGATTTGTTGATGGACAGAAATGCCTACAATATGCCTCTTGTTATTGAAATCTCTTGGCAGATTCTTTTGTGGATTAGGGGTGATGTTGTGATAGGAGTCTATTTTTAACAAGACATTCTAAATGTGTCCTGGCTGAGCACATCAAGCTTCTATATTTTTTGAATTAAGAAACCTTAAAGTAGAATATAAAAAGATCATTGAATATATTGAGGATAAAATCCAACTTACTACTATGGTAAGTTGCTAAGTTTCTAGGTCAAATTTCTCATTAGTTTTTTGGCTCTTGTGGACTCAACATTTTCCAGATTACCTTTGGAAAAATTTAATTTTCCAGACTTCCTTTGGAAAAATGTAATTTTCCAGATTACCTTTGGAAAAATTTAGAAAGTGTTTTTCCCTAAAATAGCAGCATACTATATCAGTTTGTAACTGATCATCACAAGATAAAGCATATAAATCACAGTATTCTATGTATAATTCTATATAAAACATGTAAATATTACCATAACCAAAACAATAAAGTGCAATCATGGTGTATTATATACTAACAAATAAGTAGAGAGTAATTTGCCTTTACATAAAACTGTTAGGTTTATACAGAACTGTTAGAATACAAGAATGTAGGAATTAGTCTACTGTCAGTCCTATAGTTCATGTGATTCTATCTTTAATCTCAGACACATCCAGTTTCTCTTAAAAGCTCTTGTAAGTCTCTTATTTATGAATTTATCTAGACCTTCCTTGAGTTTTTATACATTTTTTCCTTTTAGTATACTGCATTTCATAAGTTTACTATGCTGTATAAAGACACTTTCTTTTACTTTTAAACTTATCAACTACAAGGAGTTATTTCAGTATTCCAATAACTGGTGAACAGATTTTGTATACTTTAGAAACCTTGATCATAAACCGTTATTATGCCTCCATCCGAAGATTTAAGTTGTAGTCTATTCTCATCTAAGTTTTACTGTATTCTCCTCTATCGTTTGATAATTTGGATTTAATTTTAGCTTTCTGGACTGTCTCTAAATTCCTTCCTTTGCTCCACATGGCGTATTATTTTATGCTTCTTCATGAAAGAACCATCTTCTGTAAATTTTGCTAAACTTCCCAATAGGGTGCCATGCCCAGAGTGGAAACTAACATAAATTGGTTATGGCATGCAAATTGTTTCTATTGACTCTGCTGTTCAAACTGTTCTGTTAATGGAAGAAATACTTGCATATGTGAAAAGGAGAGACCTGTGCCTAAACAGGCCCAGATTAACACTGCATCCACACCATTATCATACCATACATTTAAAAAAACTTCTCTAGTGCTTTCTCCCCTTGCATGTTATTTTTCTTTGAGAGAAGGGTCTCTGCTATTTGTCTGTGTCTCTGCATTTGCTAGCAGAGTTCCTTGTATAGTTCTGTTCTGATATAATTTCCATGTTAAATATTCTCTTTCGAAAGAGATTGTGGTGTCTCCAATTTGGGTTTCTCTTCACTTTGGAACATTGTCAAGTTTAGAAATGGTTGTATGTGTCCAGATGCCACAAAATCGCAAGTTCGTCAATCAAGGATCCTCCTTTCAGTACTTTGTAAAGCAAACAGTAGGTCCTTCATTGAGGCAAAAGGAAAAAATATTTTTGATTAATAATGGAGATAAATCATATATTACATTTTGCAGCATTTTGTAAATTTCAGAGCGTTATATAAATTCCAGTTATTATTATTATTAGGTTCCTCAATGAGGACAATAAGGCAGGCATTATTATACTCTCTTATGCATAAAGAAACTAAAACTTCAAAGGGTAGAGTGGCCTATACAAGGTTGTATGGCAGGGCTAGCCCTCAACCCACCTTCTGGTTCCAAGTCTGGTGATTGCTCTTCATGAAGGACTTCATTTACAGAAGGGAAAAGTCCTACTTTGTGCAAGTTTAAGAGAGCACCAGAGGCCTGTGCCACCAGCCAACAGTCTGTGTCTTTATCCCTTGTTTACAAGTGGATAAAAATGAGCGCTTTATTGCAAATGCAATGGAACTGAAGGAGATGCTACACTGGGGAGGAAAAAAGGCAGCTGAAACAGACTGGATTTTTTCCATGTGAACAGCCTGCAGCCAAGTCTAAAGTCACTAGGACAACTGCCTCACAACTTTGCCAATAGACCCTCCAGAAAAAGCCTGCCAGGGTATAAGCATGCAAGTAGCTGTTATAAAAGGGAATGAAGGAAAGGAAGTGAGTTTTATAAAATATCTGGGAAGAAAACTTTTTTTTTTTTTTTTTAAAAAGATGACCGGTAAGGGGATCTCAACCCTTGGCTTGGTTTTGTCAGCACCACGCTCTCCCAAGTGAGCCAACCGGCCATCCCTATAATAGGATCCGAACCCGTGGCCTTGGTGTTATTAGCACTGCACTCTTCTGCGAGCCATGGGCCAGCCCTGGGAAGAAATTTTTTTTTTTTTTTTTTTTTTTTTGTCTTTTGTCTTTTTCCGTGTCCGGCAACGGATCGCAACCCTCAGTGTTGGCCCCGTACCGGACCGGGGACCGGCAACGGGATCGCAACCCTCGGTGTTGCTCCCGCGCCTCGCTCAGCCAGTGAGCGGGAACCGGTCTGTATGTGGGATCCGAACCCTTGGGCGGGAAAGCCGCCGGGCTTCCCAAGCGGCGCACTATCCAGTGCGCCACCGGGCCGGCCCTGGGAAGAAATTTTTAATCAGGTTTTTTTTTAAATTAAATTTTTGTAAGTAAAAGTAGTTGGTGAAAAAAGGATTCGTTAAGGAAAGAGAGCTAAATTTGTAACTCCTTGTTTTTGGTATCATACAAGTCATGAACACTTCATAGTGCATCATGGCACTAAAGTGAATTTCACACATGTAAGGGGTTTTGCAGTGAGGTCTTCTTTCCTTTTTCCCTCTACTTTGCTATGTTTTATTTATGAAGGAATATAAAAGAATCTCACAAATCTGAGGAAATGAAATGAAGACTTTTCATACTTCCTTGTTAGTGCTTTGATCTGGTCACAGCCAAAAGTATATAAGAAAATGAATGGCCTTGATCAAAGTCCTCAGCAAGTGCCACTAGGGGGCGGTGGGACAGGATTGGTCCCATTTTGTTTTCCCTCTTTCTTTGAAGGTCTTGTGGAAAGTGGGAAAGACAACTGCCATTTACCAAGCACCAACCACTATCTTACATATTTTTCACATCAATACTGCAAGGGAGGTGTGATGGCCATTCCATTTCAAAGAGATTAGAAAGATTTTCAAGAAGCAAGGGATGGGGAGCCAGGATTTTAGCATAGGTCTGTATAGTAAAAAACCAAATAATCCAATTAAAAAATTGGCAAAGGAGACGAATAGACATTTTTCAAAGGAAGACATACAAATGGCCAACAGGTACATGAAAAAATGCTTAGCATCACTAGTCATCAGAAAAATGCAAATCAAAACCACATTTAGATATCATGTCACCCCAGTTAGACTGGCCATTATTGAAAGGACCAAGAATAACAAATGCTGGTGAGGATGCAGGGAAGGGGGATCTCTTCTACACTGTTGGCAGGATTGTAAATTAGTATAGCCATTATGGAAAGCAGTATGGAGGTTCCTGAAACAACTACAGATAGAACTACCATATGACTCAGCAATCCCACTACCGGGGTATATATCCAAAGGAATGGAGATCATCATGTTGAAGTGATACCTGCACTCCCGTGTTAATTGCAGCTCTATTTATAATAGCCAAAATGTGGAACCAACCTAAGTGTCCTTTTTTTTTTTTTTTGTGACCGGTAAGGGGATCGTAACCCTCCCTTAGCTTGGTGTCACCCGCACTGTGCCATGCCTATATAGGATCCGAACGTGCGGCCTCGGCACTCCCAGCGCCGCACTCTCCCAAGTGAGCCATGGGGTCGGCCCCTAAGTGTCCTTTGACAGATGACTGAATACAGAAAATGTGGCATATATATATATATACAATGGAATATTACTCAACCATAAAAAATGAAATTCTGCCATTTGCAGTAACATAGATGAGTCTGGAGAAAATTATGTTAAAGAAAATTATGTTAAGTGAAATACATTTGCAGTAACATAGATGAGTCTGGAGAAAATTATGTTAAGTGAAATAAGCCAGACAAAGAAAGAGAAATACTGCATGTTCTCACTTATAACTGGGTGCTAAGAAAGAAGGAAAGAAAGAGAAAAAGTCACAAAAAAAGAAAGAGAGAGACAGAGAAAGAGAGAAAGAAAGAGAGAGAGAGAAAGAAGGAAAGAAAGAAAGAGAAAAAGAAAGAAAAGACCACAACAATTTGTTAAACTTTCAGAAGGAGAGAACAAACCTAAGGATACTAGAGATGGTGGGGAAGGAGGGAGAGGGTTTGGCGAGGGATAGATCAGGTAAAGGGCATAAAAAAAATCACGATTTGTAATAATGAATGTACTACCACTAATAGAAAACAAAACAAAATAAAACAACAACAACCACAACAAAAATAAACTGTGTGCCCATGCTCTCAGAATGCTTTTTTTAGCAATGGGAATTTATAAGGTCTTTTCACCTGAAGGTTACTTAGCTATTTATTTCTAAAATTTGTTGCTTAAAGCTTCTTATTATGGAAGGCATTTAACATAAGTAAAAGTGGAGTGAATTGTATAGTGAACCCCTTCATGCGCATCACTCAGTTATATCAATGAGGAACTCATAGCTAATCTTGTTCTACCTACATCCCTTTATTGCCACCCTCTGATTATTTTGAAGCAGTTCTCAGACATCATATAGTTTTGTCCGTAAATATTTCAGTGTTTATCTCTAAAACATGACTAAAACATAACCACAATATCATTATCATACCTAAAAATTAAACAACTTTTTAAAAACCATCAGATATCCAATTTAAAAATTTTCCCAATTGTCTTATTTTTCAGTTTGATTATTCAAATCAAA